AATGTATCTCTATGCTATTTCTGGCCTCTGTTACCACCAGCGTAGTCTGTTCCAGACCAGACCAGAAAAATACTGCATGTCTCATTTTGTCTAGTCTGGAATGCACTGTAACGCATAGAAACGCATCAATAAACGCATGGAATGCACTAGAACGCACTTGAAAGCCCATTTTAAGCTTAAAAAAAGCACACAAAAAAACCCACCTCCGAAACGTGGCAAAATCGCGGTAAAAACACAGCAAAAACGTGTTCCAAATCCGGTGAGGAAAATGGTGTGAACCCAGCCTCAAATGCTATTTAAGCATCAACCCTGAAAGTGGTTGGTGCTGTGTCTTCTTGCCAGCTATTACAGAATTGCTAGAAAAGAGCTATAATACTTTCCTGTTGCCTTGGCTTTTGCAGACCCAGATTGCCCTGACCTTTCTGCTGTTTTCCTTGTCCATTGACAACCTCTGCCTGGACCTGACCACCCTCTGCCTCATGCCCACCACTACATCTGCCTGAAGCTAACCACTCTCTGCCTGCCACCCTCCACAACCTCTGCCTGGACCTGACCACTCTCTGCCTCTTACCCACCACTATATCTGCCTGGAGCTGGTCACTCCCTGCTTGCTACCTGCCACAACTTTTGCCTAGACCTGACCACTCTGTCTGCCACATGCTTTGACCTGACTATTCTCTTGCTGATCCCCTGGTGTATTGTCTCCACATTGTAGCCCTTCTGTCCTCGCTCATCCCTTGTTGCAGGAACCCCGAGGGACGTGTTGTGACAAGCTTAGCCTAAAGGCAGCCATTTTATTTATCTTAGTAAATAATAAGGGCCCTCCTTACCATCTTGTCTTGAATTGTATTGTGATTGTAATGTCTTCCCTATATTGTAAAGCGCTGCGCAAACTGTTAGCGCTATATAAATCTTGTATAATATTAATAATAATCTTAGTAGGTTAGATAATTTCCTTAGATTTCCAGGAACTTATGTAACCAATATTCTTGTGTAATGTTTTCTTGCCCACCCCTTTGAAATGTACCATGTTGGGAGTATGCTTCTGTTCTTGTCATAATTAGTTACACAAAATGTCAACTGCTATCTATCTATCTATCCCAGTACCTGGCTGTACCATGCTTTTCTACACATATCTGTTCATTTCACACAGATATGTGTGAAAGCACATATTAATAAACAGAAAAGCTTGATTAGCGAATCTAAACTGTTCCCTGTGTGCACACATACTGGATTGTAATGTATGATTTAGGTTCTGTCACAACAGACGCAACCAGGTATCAGCCTGCAGCAAAGAGCTCTGGGGGACAGTAGAGCTTCTGGCTCACCTATACCATCAAGAACTCTGGTGAAAACTAGTTAGTTTTTTAACTCGCTCAGGCATGTTTTGGGTGATGCCATGCTACGACGGTCTAACAGCTGTAATCATTTGGGACTTGAAAATGGTAAACAATGGAAACCACAGTTGGAAGATTGCTGTGGAGGAAAGCTGATGGAAAAATGTGATGGGGCCCCTCTAATGACCTTCCTCTGAGCTGTGGGTTATGATGCCAAGAACACTCCTCTTGTGCTCCTCCCTATTCAGATTAGAGAGTTAACATCAACTACAACCACTCCAACCCTTAATGATACAGTACTGTATTATCTTCACATGTTATGTTTAATCTGCCTCAACAACCTAATGGCCAGAAGCTCTAGTGGCACCCAGAGCTCTTTGCTGCAGGCTGGTACCAGGTTGCGTCCCTCAGGATTGCTGCATTGTCTTACTGCAGACTCCCATTTCATTTCTCAAGAAGAAAACACAACTTGGCCTGTGGCAAAAAAATAACTGGATGTCAACCTAGTCGTTGAAGTTGTGTAAAACTGTAAAATGCTTTATGAACAGTAGAAAAAAGGCTGTAATGACTAAAACACACATCTCTTGTAATAACGTTACCATCAGTTTTCATTCTGTGACATACAACCTATGCAACCACTTTAACCCCTTCGTGACGAGAGACGTACACTGTACGTCCTGCCACGAAGTCCCCAAATGATTGGCCATGTACACAGTGCGATCGGACGCGTGGCAAAACATTGCCTGCGTTCCTTTACACTACAAACGCAAAAAAATGTTGCCTGCTCTATTTTTTGCGTTTGCAGTGGAACGGAACACAGGCAATGTTTTGCCACACGTCCGATCGCACTGCGGGCGGGGGTGGTGTGGCTGCGGTGCCATGATTTCAATGCACCACCACGCCCCCTCCCTCCCCAAAACGCAGGGGGAAGTTTTGTAAGCGGTTGCGGTGTGTTCTATCAGCTACCGCTCTGGAACGCACCACAATTGGTGTGAACAAGCCCTCTTGTGCACTTGGTATACATTACTGGTATATGTTTAAAAAAAATACCTTTGCAAAGGTGGAAATGGACTTCAAGTAGGGTATACACAGTTAGAATTTTAAACAAATGACCAAACTAAATTGATTTTGGTACATTTCGACTTTCTAATCATTGATGGGATCAAATTGATGATCGATTTTGACCACAGCGACGAAAAGATTTGAAGGAGCCTGTTGAAAAAATTGTATTGAACAAACGAAATTCTAACATTGAATGTGGTTTTCCTTCAGGAAACTGCATTTATTTTCAAATCAAACGACAATCGCAAAGTCTCTGAATGTATTATCGAACGTTCTGATGGAATTTTTCGTACGAATGTCAGTTTAAAAAATCTACCTGCGTATACCCTACTTTAGTGACGCTATCCTACTGCATTGCCTGAACACCAACATGTATAATAAAATGAATGCAGAGTCGTTTACTGAATTATTGTCTGAATTATTTACCTCATGTTACAGGCAGTCCGCGAGTTACATACATCCGACTTACGTAAGACTCCTACTTACAAATGGAGGCTATTACTGTACAGCAAGGGTAGTTGTAATGCTACCACGCTCGTGCCGACGAGCAGTGGTCGCGTTTTGTGGGTCTGGTTCGTAGTGCTGTACGTAGATTACAGGAAGTTGGCTCTTGTTAGACGTGCACATGAGGGGTGCCCACCTCTTCTTCCAGGTCACTGTGAGGTTTTTACTGCTGTCTGTATCCTCATTAGAAAGATTTAATTTCACTTCCTGTCCTTGAGACAACAGGAAGTGAGAGGAAATCTACCCCTAGGAAGGGAAATTCACTCCTGTAAGAGTGATCATGGGAAAAAAGTGGTTCCCACTGAAGCTGTATCACCAATCCTTGTTTCCACGACAACCCCAAATTTTCAAAATCCAATTGTCACAGGGACAGAAAGTGAGGTGAAATCTTCTGAACAGGGACACACACAGCAAGACAAACTTTACAGGGGGTTAACCCTTCCCTATGCTATCCAAAACAAATAAACATTTTTTGGGCTGGAGTTACACTTAAAAAATGTACCTGTTCCAACTTACATACAAATTCAACTTAAGAACAAACCTACAATCCCCATCTTGTTCGTAACCCGGGGACTGCCTGTACTCTGTGTCTGTGTTTTATATTCGGACTTGGCTTGGAAAAGAGCTGGCCCGAAACGTCATTTTGCATGAGAAAATAAAAGAGCTACTTTTTGAAGTCCTTGGTGCAGGACACCTTTTGCTGCAGTGTGCTCGCCGTTGCCAGACCTGCCCGCATCCACACCCTTCTCCCCGCCTCACGCTCGCCGCTGCCAGACCCGCCCGCATCCACGCTCCTCCTTCGCGCCTCACGCTCACTGCCCGCCCACATCCACGATCGGGGCGGGGAGAAGAAGTGAAGAGCAGGCGTGGGAGGATGACAGCTGCCGACAGACCCGATCTCAGAAGCAAGTTGGTGGTAGACTGCTCAGGTAAGCCTGCACTCCCCACCCTCCCACATGGTGCTCTTTAATGTATTGCTGGGATAGTGGGATTTGTCGTCCTCTATAGCTGATGATACATTGTGCTGTACATTATATACAGCAATCTACCATCAGCTATAGAGGATGACAAATCCTAGCAATACATTATACACTGGGGGGAATTTATCAAAACTGGAGCAGACAAAATCTGGAGCCGTTGCCTATGGCAACCAATCAGCTTCTCTCTTTAGTTTGTTCAGTTAAGGTTTGAAAATGACAGAGAGAAGCTGATTGGTTGCCATGCACAGCTGCTCCAGATTTTGTCTGCTCCAGTTTTGATAAATTTCCTTCAATGTATGTATAATGTATTCCTCTATAGCTGGTGGTATTCTGCATTGCTGCATAATGTATTGCTGGGATTTGTAGTCCTCTATAGCTGGTGGTATTCTGCATTGCTGGTATTTATAGTCCTCTATGGCTGGTGGTATTATTCTACATTGTTGTTGTGCTGAGATTTGTAGTCCCTCTACAGCTTGGAGTTAGTGGCAGAACTACCAGGGTTGCAGCAGTCGTACACGCGCACAGCACTGACGAGGCATCACCACACTATCAGTGTGCTATAATTTTCCTCAACCCATATATTTCTCTGCCGCGTCTCTTCCAGGTGCGCATGTCATGAAAACAGCTGATTTGGATGACTCGGCCCTACTGGAAGTGACACAGTGGAGAAAAATAAATGCTGGTGGGTTGGTGACTACAGCACTAGGAATTTCACTGAGATTGTGTTTGGTATGCACGCTGCGATTCAGTACATACGTTTGCCTGGATTTCACATTCTGCTGAGGAGGTCAGCAGTGAGAGCCTACATCTTTCTGGGGATTTCATCAGCAGTCCTGTAGACAGAATGTAATAACCTTCTCTGATAATACATGAGTAAATATTAATATATTGAAACAAGTGCATGCAGAATCCCAGCAAAATGTATTTGTTTAGTATGAAGAATAAAAAACTATGTTACTGATCCCGATGTGATGTGTTTTCTGAATCTTTCTGGCTTTTTAAAGTACAATTTTTTTCCATAAATCTCATAAGCATTCTCTATACTCCTGTTGTTGCACAATACCTTTGTATGGAGTGCGGGCCAGCCTATGGAATCATGTGACTGCTCTGGGAGACACACAGGAAGTTGCACTAAGGAACTGAAAAGTAGCTATACAATATACTTGGATACAGGAAACAAAGGGACGTAGAAGTTAAAGCAAGCTGACATTCAGGACAGGCGAAGTCATAGCAGAAGCATGAACTTAATCCCAAGCTTCTCTTCAGAGACCTGGATCCTGCTAGCTGTATTTTGGGTTCTCTTCTTAATGTGAGTACAAAATAGTCTGACACTGTATGCCCAACTACTATACTATACATACAACTAACATGCATGTAGTTACAACAATAGGATACATGTGTACAAACACTAGACAGCACACAGATACATGATTACCTACAACACTCTGCTGCTGGGCATAGACATGTGTATATCTGACTTCAAGAACAAAAATGCTGGATTAGTGATTGTGTTACTAGGTATTCACCGTATTAACCTTCTGACACACCTATACTATGCTAGGCAGAAAAGAAATGTGCTCTTTGTTATGATAAGCACTGGCTGATATGTGCTGCATAGTGTCTGGAACACAGACTCAAGGATATTACCTACATCAGGGGTAGGCAATCGCAGCACTTCAGCTGTTGGGGAATTAAAAGTCCCTTGAAACATTGCAAGACTTTGACAGTCACAGGCATGACTCCCAATCGAGTGATGCCAGGTGGAAGGGTGCCAACAACTGCAAATTTTGGCCGGTTCATCGGCATTAAAGGGTTTGTAGTTTCAGCACAGCTGGAATGACAAGATTGTTTACCACTGACCGACATTGTATTTCTGGATAAGGGTTCAGATATGACCCTTTTCCATGGGGGTCCCAGCTCCTGTGTATTATCCACCAGGGATATTTGAATCTAGAGTTGCCACCTGTCCGGTTTTTAACTGGACAGTCCAGATTTGGAGTCTTGCGTCCAGGTGTCAGCGAGCACCAGGTCACAAGACACTCAGTGCGGACACCGGCACTTTAACATTTCTGACAGATGCGGCTGCCGAGGTCCCCAGCAAGCGACATCTCAGGCAGCCGCACCTGCCTGAAACTGGATCTTCCTCTGAGCTGCAAACAGCCTCTGCCTGTTTACAGGCGCCCGCAACTCAGAGGAAGATCCTGTATCAGGCAGATGCATCTGTCATTGCCTTCTCCTCCTCTTCCTCATCCTCCACGTCCCTGACACTGTGCTGCCTGCCTGCAGACCCTGTTGAGACACAATAGCACAGACAGCACATCTGAGAGTCGCACAGCCCACCTGAGAGCCATTTAGCCCACCTGAAAGCCACATAGCCTGTCTCTTCTTGCTCTTTCTCCTGACAACCTCTCCTCGCTCTCTCCTCTATATTCTCCCCCCGGCGCTAGAGTGTTTGGGCTTCCCTTGAAGAAAAGGTTGCAAACCTATTTTAAACCTATGTTTTAATATATCACTGTAACATCATCATTGATGTCATCGAGCTCAGCTGCATGCTCCTAGCTCTCAGAGAGGTCAAAGGGGGAAAGGAGGAAATCAGGTGCGTTAGCTAGAGCTGATTTTGTACCTTGATAATATTTTGTTAATGTTGCAAACAGGAGCACTTGTATATGTTTCCTTGTCGCTCGTTGTGTTTGCTTATATATTTTATCATTTTTTTGGTATTATTCTTCCAGTAGTGGGATATTCTGATTTAGATACAATTTAGGTGTATGAGAATATAGTCCATTATGTGTGTGAGCTTGGAGCGGTGACTACTTTACAGCACACACAGGGACCATGGGGAACAAAAGTAGCCATCCTCCAGAAGGAAGTACAGTGTCAGATCCAATTCAGAGATGATTTGAGGATCTACAGCTGAGTGATACACAAATAAAATACATTCTTGTTAATAGTTAAGGTACTCGAATGCATTTTTAAGGCTTAACTCCTGAGTTTAGTGTCACTTTAATTATTGCTAAGCTATGCAAGTCTCTGCTCCCTTTTGGCATTTCACACGGGTAGTACAAACTGCCACTGTGGAGTCTAATTGAAATAGTATTATTTGTATTGTTATTATTTGTAAGCTGTATATTTTCGGTTTATTTGTAAACTCATATTTGTTGTTCTTGCTCAGTTACGGCGTCTGGCCTTATGGAGTATTTAAGAAGCTGGGAGTACCTGGCCCTTTTCCACTTCCATATATTGGAACATTTCTGGAATATAGAAAGGTAAGTATGTGATTTTATCAGAGTCCAGAGCTTTACACTGTTTATCAGCCTAAGAGCCACATTTAAGAAATAACATTAGTAGACATGTGTTGCAAATGAAAATATAGAGGTACTGGAAGTTTCACACCCCGGGTTGTAACGTAGAGAAAGAAGGTATTTCCACAGTGGGGTGTGCAAATGCACAAAGGGAGAAAAGAAAAGTGGCTTTTTAGAAAACAATCCCAGACCTCAAAAATAAAATCTTAGAAAAACATTTATTTGAGATATCATTTTAAACATTATTAAAAAGCAAAAAGGTCAAAGAAAAATCACAGATAAAAACATATGCGGATGCATTCACCATCCGGTAACAATACCGTACAGTTATTAACTCTGCAGTTGCTTGTTTTCAAAATTATATGAGTGCTCCTGTATGTCCCAACATGTTTCGCCCAAACGGGGCTTCTTCAGGGAAAGAGATCAGGAGAAAAATATACGTGTCCTAGAGTAGGAAATAGGAAAAACCCACATGTGAGGAGACTAGGGAGCTGCACTTAATCTTATTAGCAAAGTCATCATTTACATTCATTAGACCAATCATAGTAAATGCAATAATATTAAAGTTAGAGTGTTGAATGCTTACGTGCATATATCTTCACGTTTAGTTGATCAGAAGCATAAGCAACTGTGTTTGTATTCAGATAGAAATTGATTCTGTCGAGCAAAGATTGCCACACACGATGCAGGTGGGGGGGTCGCGTCGGAGAGAGCACACTGTAGTCGTCAGGCGAGAGGCAGCCACAGGAGAGCCACATTTAGTCAAATTCATGAAACTTATGAAAAAAAGATCAGCTGGAAGATGATAATATAAAATATTTAATGGCATGCATGTTTGTGGTGCAGCATTATCAGACAACAGACCGAAAAGTAACAGTCCATATGGGGTTCCGTATTGGATGCAAATAAGGAAGGAGGAAGCCCCACTTGCTGGGGGGAAACACGCCAGGGACAGCGTGTTACCGGCTTCCCTTCATACAATGGATTTACTGTCTGTATACCATTGGGTTGGCGGGGCTTCACTACACCGAATGGATCGAGCAAGGCTTGCATGTATACCATAGCAGCAGTAAGACCACTGATCCTGAGCCCGGATCGAGCAGGGCTTGCTTGTACCATCTGGCAGCAGTCAGACCCCTGATCCAGTGCCCCCTGGACACACCGCTTCTGGAGTTCTACCCTTCCCTATTTCATTCTGCGGCCGCACTTACAAGGGATATCCTTTGGTCACTTCATACGCGGGGAAGCATCCGAACCCCCGTTGGCAAGTGTTTGTCCGGATGAGCTGTGAAAGAAACAATGGGACCTTCTACGCCAAAATGAAATAATTCCTTGGATTACAAATCACCATATGGATACGCTCTATTGAAACATCTTATTTGCATCCAATACGGAACCCCATATGGACTGTTACTTTTTGGCTACATATGAAGTGAGTAATCCTGGCGCACTTTGATACAATTGTATCTGTCTTTTCTCTACACAGCATATTTTTTCATATCAGTGACTGCCTGCCACCCTCGGTGGAGATTAGATCAATATTTTTTCTGATTTTCCATTACTTGGGTAATTTAAGGGAAGCCATTGTCTTTTTAAGATTTTAAATGTCTTGTATTAGGTGATTTAGCTTTTGTACTTTTTTCATGTTCATTAAAATACATATTATTAATATATAACATCACGAATTGTGTTACTTGTTCATTAGACAGCTCCTTGTTTGGGATTTTTTTATTTGGCGGACAAATCTGTGTTGATTATAATTTTTGAAACCCAGGAGACTAGTCTATTATCTAATTGTTAATCATTGCGATACTCCTTCTCCCCTGTGTGTGTTTATAATCTGAAACTATATTTGTAAAACTACATGAAGTTTGGCTAGCAGCATGGAGCATAAACTGCAGGTCTTCCCTGGTTGGCCAATACTTTTCACTGTCCCTGAAATAAAAAGTCACTACGTGAGGTGACCTACAGTAATATTCATCTGCATATATGCATATTTATTTGTATTTGTTTGTGTGCTCATATGTTTTCTTATTTTGCAGGGTGTGGCACAGTATGATATGGAATGCTTTAAAAAATATGGAAAATTATGGGGGTGAGTTCCAGAATCATTTTTTTTGCATTGGAGCCAGTAAAGCATTTCAACTGCAATCAGTATTGTATGTATTTTATGTATTTTTTTAGATGCCCCAGAATTCAGTATCAGCAGTGAATAATTTTTTTTATTGTATATTGTGTTGCAGACTGTATGATGGAAGACAAGCAGTTCTTGCAATTCTAGACCCTGTTATAATAAAAACCATTTTGGTAAAAGAGTGCTACACTAATTTCACAAACAGACGGGTAAGTTTACTAAACACCAGCGACAGTGCAATATGATTCTATGTTTTGCTATCAGCCTGCATAATGACAGAGGTGGCTTCATGTATTTAATGGAGAACTATGCGGTGAGTGAAAATCATCCTCATAGTTCAAGCCGACGTGTTACAATGAAACTGTCACACGTCGGCTCAATAGATCGGGAAGTGAGCTAACACATACTGTCGCTCGCTCACTTCTCGATCATCTCCCTGCAGAGAGCCGTGACTGACAGTCACGGCTCCCTGCAGGGATTCCCCCCTCCGCGTTCCGATCCTCCAGCGCTGAGAGGAACAGACGGGGAGCGGACGGGTACAGTTGGCTCTGACACTAGATAGGCAGAGCCAGCTGTCACTCACACAGCTGGGTGGATCTCGACAGCGTTGTCGGGATCCATCCTGGCCGCGGTCTCAGTATACCGCGAGCTGTAGCTCGCGATATACTGAGCTTTGGAACAGTAGAAAGGCATCATGGCACACTCACAAAACCAGCATGTAAAACAACACATCCTGACCGCGGCCAGGATGGATCCCGACAACGCTGTCGAGATCCACCCAGCTGTGTGAGTGATAGCTGAAGACGTGTATCCAAACCTCTGTCATTATCCTTAGTGGTGAGACATGTTGTTTTACATGCTGGTTTTGTGAGTGTGCCATGATGCCTTACTACTGTTTTACTGTTCAAAGCCCATTTCGTGTGCACCTTACTGTATAACTGGTAACAAATTGTTGAGTGCGTTTGTCGTTTGTTTTGCTATACTGAGCTTTGGGTCACGGGAGGACGCTAGTATATGTCCTCCCGTGACCCTTAAGAGAACTATGGGGAAAAACACTTACCCCATAGTTCTCTTTTAAAGAACATCACATAATCTTCAACTGTCAATAAACCATAGTGCCTTTCCAGATAGGTCCATGCTTGACCTTCACAGTCAGACGCAGCTCAGAAAAAGTGGACAGCGGCACAACGACATAATGCAAAAGCGGCTTCTTTATTGATCGATAAAAATCGATTACACAGGACATGAATAAAGAGACTTCTAAACAGTTAAATTACAGATATAACACAGATAAAGGATCCCAACTTGCTATACAAAAAGTTTTGAAACCATAAAAAATGGTGAACTTTTTAAATATTACTGAATTCATAAGAATGCTGCACATAGAGATATCCACTAGCTGAGATTTCCAACAATTAGTGTAAGGAACGGTATTGAGTAATTTAATGAGCAGTTAAAAATAAGGTCAGTGTGGGTTTGACAGGGCTAATCTTTAATTAAAATTTGGACTTCTGCTCAGACTATGGAAAAATGATTACTGGATTTGCTGATACATTATATTCAAGCAGAAACGTGTTTTCTTCTTGTTTTTGTTTCAGGTAGTTGGGTCAATGTGTATTTAAACTATGGGGTCTATGCACAAAGCTACCGAAGGATCTAGCGGTAGCGTCGGCTGATCCTTCGGGTAACTTCGGTCCCAGGACCCCTTCGGTTCAGGGCTGCTGTACGGGCTATTCATTATAGCCCGTACAGCCCTCGAAGTTGGCCGAGGGGCTCAGTCGAGCCGAAGGCATATGCTTCGGCTTGACTGAGCCCGGGGGAAATTCGAAGCTGGCCGAACGCCGGTCGACAGCCTGCTTCTGACTACTGGGCGGAGCCAGTTGTTATCTCACGGCTGGCTCTGGCCACTTGCAGAGAGATCAGCGTCCCTGGTTACCAGGTAACCAGAGATGCCGTTCTATCATTACACCGAGAACCCGTCGGAGCTGCTGTAAAATCACAGCAGCTTCGCCGGGTTCTGTGTGTAATGACAGAAGGCGTCCCTGGTTACCAGGTAACCAGGGATGCCGATGTGTCATTACGACCAGAGTTTAGGAGAGCCGGCAGTGATATGAAAGCCGACTGCTAAGCTTTCATCTTAATGACAGAACAACATCTGCTGGTTACTAGGGGACATGAAGGGACACGATTGGGACATGAAGTGTTGAACAGCTCTGAGTCCAAATTGATGTTCGGTGGAAGTGTAAAGAGAGGCTACATTAAGGGATGCCCATAAATAGCCTTCTCTCTATGTATAGTCTTTCCATGTATAGTCTTTCAAAATTTCAAGGATATGCCCTGAGTCTCTGGCATATGAGGGAAGCTCCAACACCATAGGCTGTAGAAATGCATCAGTGTAGCTTGCCATATTATATGTCAGTCTATCCATACCTGCTATGATTTGTCTCCCTGGTGGTTTGACTGGGACTGGATCTTTATGTATTTTCGGAATATGGTAGAAGTAAGGAGTGCAAGGATGAACCACTAGAAGATACTTATATTCCAACTTCAGGAGTACCCCTGAAGAGCATGACTGTTTGAGCAGATCATCAAATGATTTTTGGTATTCTCGAGTGGGGTTATCTTTTAGTCTCTCATAAGTAGAAGTATCTGACAATAGCCTGGAGGATTCTCTAATGTAGTCTGTTTTATCTTGAACAGCAGCGAGTAGCCTGCTGGAGGTTCGGCTCAGGCGATCCAGATGTTGGATCGGCTGAGTCGAATTCCTTCTGCACTACGGGTTGGCCGAACATGTTGAGCATGTTTGGCCGATCCGAAGCCACCCAATGTACGGCTGATTTCAGCCGATATGTGGCTGAAATGAGCTCTACAAGCCTGAAGTGAATAGACAAACAGTGTTCGGCTCACTTCACTTTGGGTCGGTTGTTCACTCGGCTGCCTACGACAGCTTTGTGAATAGACCCCATATATCATTTTCTTGGGATAGTGTAGGGAAGTGTTAAACATCCTGTTAGGTTTATATTCTTGTCTTCATCGCCTCTGGCAGGGGCTTAACTACAAATCATGGGGCCCTATAGCAAAATGTTTCCCCCAGGATACCAACTCTGTAGCAGCTGGCAGTGTCAGCTGTGACAATATGGGGTTGATTTACTAACCTTATAAACACGCCACGTACAAGTATACACCTCTGTAGTGTGTTCCCTCCCAGCATGATCTATTGGTGGAATCTAGACACCTTTGTAGTGTGAACACACCCAGCAGGTGTGTTGTGCAAAGCCCTGCATGAATTGCAAGGTGATGTTGTGTAAATTAGCTCTACATTGTGTTGCTTGTGTTGATGAATGCAGGAATGTAAATGCATGAGCTAACCATTTTTGTCTAAACTGTGAAGCAGCATTATATATGCATCATGTGCATGGTTTTTCCATATATGGCATTAGTGGAAATATGCTTTTAGAGACTTTTTGGTTGATAAATACGTTTTGCTGTGTAAAAATCACACGCACCTAGTGCGTGCGTGTGTTTAGGTTAGTAAATCACCCCCTATGTGTCATTGATCTTAACATGAGGTATGTATTAAGGACAGGCAGCAGGGGAGCTGTCAGCATAGTCAGTACACTACTAGAGAACAGTGCTGAGGATATACAGTGAGGAAAATAATGATGTGATCCCCTGCAGATTTTGTAAGTTTGCCCACTTACACAGAATAAAATTAATAATACTCTTCAGCTCTAATACAAACTTCTTTAAACTCTAGCTTCATTAAAAAAAAATTGTGGAACTACAAAGCTCAACCTTCCTATAAGGTTTTAACAGGGGTAAAACTCTGGGATTAATGACTGCAATAGGCATAGGGGGTTTGTTTCAATCAGTAGTAGCAGTTCAGAGGGCAATAAATCTACACTGCTGAAGCTGGCTGTACTATGCTTCGATTTTTGAAAGAACTTTAATTTAAAAAGAACATTTGTTCAACTTTCTACTAGTTGATAGGATCAAATCGATGATCGATTTCGACCATAGTGACAAAAAAACTCGAAGAAGCAGAAGTTTTCTCAAACAAGCAAAATTTTAACAGTTAATGTGGTTTTCATTTGGGAAACTCCATTCATTCCAAACTCAAATGTTATAATCAAACGAAATTTGGATTGACATTTTTCAAGTGTCTGATGGCATTATCGGGTGGTAAAGAAAGATCTTTTGTGCGAAAGTTAGCACAGAAATCTACTAGTATATGGCCAGCTTAAGATAGATAAGCAAATGCTTCTTACTGTACAGAGGGGGATCTGTGACTAGATGATCCTGAGGTCTTATTTCAGCCCCTCTATACTGGAAACTAGACATGTGTGTCGGCAAAAAATGTGTTTAGTTTGGTATGTTTCGTTGATTACTTTTTCGGGATTCGGGTCTGAAAGTCAATTCGTTTCAACATTTGGATTTAGATGAATCCGAAATGTCATTCATTTTGGATGAGTTAAATGATCATTACAAATGAAAATGTGTTGCAGAAAAGTGACATTAAATGCTTACTTTGTTTCTTTTTAACTTTTGACACATGAATTGTTGGCAAATTCTGTGACAGCTGTCAGATTCTTTCCATTTGGATCGAAGTGTGCACAAAGAAGCAGAAGCTGTTACACAATAACACAAATCTCTCAGCTTCTTTACTTACATTTTGTAACAATATTGTGTTACTGTGGTTTCATTCAGGATACAATTCCAGAATGTTCACAAAGAGAGAAGCCAAAGAGCGGTAAATGACAGCTCTCCCGCTTATTGTGTTTCGCTCTGAATGAAATTCGCATGTATCCGAATTTTGTTATCAAACATATGGATTTGTTCGGATTCATTATTTCTGTCATTGGGAAATCTGGATGCATCCGAATGTATGAATTTCTAAAAATTCATACGGATTTCGATTAGGAACTAAATGAATTGCACACGTTTACTGGAAACATCACAGTTTAGTTTTCCTAATCATCTCCCCTAATGGGGCCAACTCCTACGCCAGGCCTGCATGGGCTGCTATGGCTATTGTTACACCACTGCCCTCTGGGTAAGCCTCTTCTTTACTTGTGCTGTCACTCCCTAAATGACAAGTATTAGGCTGGGTTCACACCTGAGCGGGTTTTTTTCAGCTCGTTTTTTGCACGTTTTTAGCGCTTTTTTCCGTTCAGTGGTTGAAGGGCAAACTTAAAAGTTTAACTTTTAAACTTCCCGCTGGCTCTGCCCCCCTGCGACACAGCCGCTCGCAAGGGATGGAACCCAGAAGTCGGCAGCCGCCGGAGGACACAGCGGGGATCGCGGACAAGGTAAGACCTGTACGCTGTATTCCCGAGTGTGGCTCGGGGTTACCGCTTTGTTAACCCCGATCCACACTCGGGAATACCAATGGAAACGCGCGTCAAAACGCCCCAAAGAAGCTCCTGTACTTCTTTGGGCGTAGGGCGTTTTGCAGCGCATTCCTACGCGCTGTAAAGCGGCCAGGTGGGAACCATGCCCATAGGCAATCATTGGTTTTCACATGTTGAGCGTTTTACAGCACGTAGGAACGCGCTGTAAAACGCCCAGGTGTGAACCAGGCGTTAAAGGAAGAATCAGTAGCTCCAGTTGAATTAGTTACTTGCCAGCTATAGTACTTTCTAGACTAGCCCAACTCCAGGAATGCCGGTTACCCTTTTGCAGTCACATTTGACCAACTTCTATTATGTTTGTTATGTGTTCCCATTCACACAACATACCTTAAACATTTTTTTACAAAACATCTTACCTTTTTAGCTGTTTTTTTGGAACAGGATTATCTATAGGACTCTTCTTATGCTTTGAACAGATGGGAATAGATGTTTTGAATAGATAAGAGAACAGACTGAGAAACAGTTTTTGTAAAAGTACAATAACATACAATGACTTGGATCTTTAACCCTCTATTAGGACAGACAATCTTGCACAACTAGTTTACAACTGATAATAGAGATCTGCCAGCACAGCACAGACAGGGCTAATTATGAGCGTGTTGGGCAATCGTCTTTGCCATGAACAGGAAAAACGAAGGTAGAGTATACACGGTTAGAATTTCAAATTCACAAAATTGATTTTGGAACTTTCTATTCGTTGATGGTATCAAACTGATGATCAATTTCGACCGCAGTGACGGAAAAATTTGAAGGATCTTGTTAGAAAACTTTTCTCGATCTGTAAGAATTTCTAACAGTGAATGCGCTGGTGTATTGAACGTTCCAACAGAATTTTTCATACGAACGGTCGTGCAGTTTTCAGCAAAGAGCATCTGAAAGGATAAAGCGCAATTTCAAAATATTTTTGTAAATTATGTTATGTGAATGAGAATATGTAGCAAATCTAAAGTAGGTGTTATCCCAATATGGCTGCAAAAATGTCAATATTTTTTTAAAAAACATCATTGCTGACCATCTGTCACTCTCTGACTTCTGTACTTGATAATACTCCAAGGGCATTGTCATAACTTGCAGGCCTGTGGAAACCCAGTTTATACCTGGTAAAAGTAGCAGTGACATCAACATTGTGCTGCACATCGCCTGTGCAGAGAGCAGAGCTGTGGGAGAGACCCAGCAGACCCACCCACTACAGGGTGACTACAGAAAACGACAGGAGGTGGTGATAGAAGACCAGTCATCCTACACAAGGAGAGAGCAGCAGTAACTGGTCTTAATAAAGGAAGCTCCTGCACAGAGGTAAAGTTTTACACTGGATCACTGCACAGATCTGGAAGAGTACATACCGGCATGTCGCTACTGGATGGAGTTAAGAAACAGAGGAAATAAGTATTTATTTTCTATGATCCTCAGCTCCATCTAGTGGATACGGTATTTTCCTGATATTACATTCTACTTGGAAAGGAAAATACTAAGAATGTTTGTTTTTGCCTTCTTTCTCACAGAATGAACGTTCATTGAGTTATACAAAAGAGAGGACTTCAAATACACAAGATGAGTCTGAGATTTTGGCATTGTTACAGATCAGAGAGAAGCCATGGGGGGGGGATCACATTTTTGCTATAGGGCCCTGTGTTCAGTAGTTGCAGCCGAGTGGACATACTCGTGTTAAATACAGTAATCTGTACTTAAAAAGATATTATTATTATTGATATCTAAAATTTTGCTTGCTAAAATGATATGTACTACATTTTACTTATGCTAAAAGTAAGTTTTGTAGGAAAATTGTTGCAGTTGTAAAGATCTATATTGCAGCACAGTTGTTTAACCCAAACCTCCAGAGAAAAAAAATAACTTAAAAGCTATATGTATCAACAGTAATTTACTAGCTCATTATTGGACACCTGCAACCACGCCTTATGGACGCAGACATTGCGATTTGTGGTCAGCTAATAGAAAATGTCTATAATATATCAAAACTAGACATTCATTCACAGGGTTATTCACAAAAGGGTGAAGAGTTTGGAGAAGGCAGGAGAAGTGAACAATCTAGGACAACATAGCTTATTTGGAAAGTGAGCTGAAATGGAGATTTTTTCTAGTTCAGCTATGTTGTCCTAGATTGTTCACTTCTCCTGCCTTCTCCAAACTCTTCTCCGTTTTGTGAATAACCCTGTAATTCATCATTCAAACATTCGTTTTTGTTCATTCCGTTTTAAAAAGATAAATTCAATAAATTTGAATAGATCCGAAAAGGAAAACTTCAAATTGATCTGAATTGCGAATATTGAACTGATCCGAATTTCAGAAAACCACAAACAATTCTGAATAAAAACTAAGCGAAAAAGGAAATTTCGCGCCGTGAATAAGTTTACTAAAAACTTGATTTTCTAGGAGTTGCTTAATTTCTTTTATCTCAAATCTTTAATATATTAAATGTAACATGACCTACAGCCAGGGCCAGATTATTTACCACCCTAGGCAAGACCAGCTACTTGCATCCCCCCCAAAAAAAAGCTTTAACTTTTTTCCAATTCCCCAGCAGACACCCCAGTGTATAGGCTAGCTCCATCCTGCCCCAGTGGACTGACTAGTGCAATTTCACCTCTGCAAGCCAGCTAGCTCCATCCTCCTTATCCCCATGACCCCCCAACCCCCACAGACCAACTAGCCTCATTCCCCCCTATCATGGTGGCTAGCACACAGGGTCCATGTCCCCTCCATGGTGTCCCTAGCTCTTCCATAGCACACAGGGTCCATGCCCCCTCCAAGGTATCCACAGCCCTTCCGTAGCACACAAGGTCAGTGCCCCCTCCATGCTGTCGCCAGCCCTTCCATAGCACACAGGGTCCATGTCACCTTTATGGTGTCCCCGGTCCTTTCCTAGCACACAGGGTCCATGTCCCCAGAACATAGAGTTCATGTCCCCTCCATGGTGTCCACAGTCCCACCATAGCACACAGAACCATACAGCTTATACAGGAAATATTAGTGACTCTTACATGCAGGCCACGCTGGGGCGAGCAGGCCTTCATAGCATGAACAGCTTGCTCAGCGTTCTCCTGTAGTTGGACTCAGCCCCATCACACGCCTCTCACTATGACTCACTGTGACACCTGGGTGGCTTGTGAAGGGTACAGCACCGGAAGCGGCTGCTAGTGTGCAAAGTTACACTCCTAATGAGCTGGCCGCGCCCCCCTCATAGCTCATTACCCGGCTTCAACAGAGGCCACGAGGGAGGGGCTCTGAACACTAGTGGAAAAAAAGCTCCCACTTTCAAACTGTCCTCCCTACTCGGCCATCTTTATGAAGACCACTCATATGTCTTGGGATAACCTAGCCGTATTGGGAAGCCGGCAAAGTGCGAGGAAGCCACAGGTCAGGGCTGTGCCCTAGGTGGCAGTGCGCCCTAGGCGGCTGCCTAGTTTGCCTAGTGGCAGCGCTGGTCCTGCCTATAGTATATTGCCAGGTTTTAGAAAGATTAGTGAATCCTAGAGTAATCATAGTGATTGCTACGACTCTTCTCTTTTCTTTGTTCCCTTTTTCCCATCTGGTTAATTATCTTAATTTAGGCATTAATGTGCTTTATGTATAAATGTTCCTCAGGTTACAAAGTACTATATGTAAACAATATTATCCATTTTTCTGATCAAATTTAAATAATAAAAAAATATATTGTTAAGATGGTTTTTTTTCCTTTGATACAGAATTTTGGTCTTAATGGCCCCTTTGACTCAGCCCTCACAATTGCTGAGGATGACCAGTGGAAAAGGATTCGTACAGTGCTCTCACCTACTTTTACTAGCGGGAAGCTGAAGGAGGTAAATATTATATTACTCAGCTTCTGTCTATCTCTTAAACTGGTCCTTTGTGGGCTGCTATTTTAAGATTAGCAAATAAATATTGTTTTCTACAGGATATCACTCACTTTTGTATTTCTGCACAAATACTTACAATTTGATTATTCTGAGCTAAAATCTCTACTCTTTAGATGTTCCAGATAATGAAGGACTATTCTAACACACTGGTCAAGAACATACAAGTTTATGTTGACAAAGATGAGCCATGTCCAATGAAGGAGTGAGTTTATTCATTATAAAGAAAATCTTATTAAGGCTGAACTCCAGGGAGCTATTTAAAAAAGTACACAGATTAATTTATTAAAGAATATTCATTAAAATATGCCGCACTCCACTAAAAAGCACGTGTGCTTACAGTGTACATGCTGATAAGGGAACAGAATGAGCAAGGAGATGACCCCATCACAAAATTTTTGCTCTTTCCTTGTCCAATCAGCACATTGAGGGTGAACTAGTGCTTTTGACCAAACTGTGCTGCTGCATTGGAAGTTAAGTACAGTATATGGCTGTTCTTTCTGCCAGGGATGTCTGGATCAGAAAGTAGAGAATACAGAATGGCAGGAAAAATATTTTCTATATTTGCACTTTAAAAGATGCATGTAGTTGCTTGCTTGGGGCTCAGTTTTAACATAAAGAGTATGAAGTACTCCAGGATGCATACAGGGCCGGATTTACTCTCCCTGCCGCCCCAAGGCCAGGTTCCACAATACGCCCCCCCCTGCGCCGACAACCCCCTCTCCTCATCAATTGAGATAATAATTTTCTTATTTTTTACTTTTTAATCACCTTTTTATTTTTTTATTTAATTATTTAATATGATTTTTTTACATTTGTATTTTTTTTTTTAAATCAATGTAATTTTTTTCCACCTAACTTTATTGCTATCACACAGGAGATAACAAGTCCCTGTGTGATAGCAAGGTAGATGGCTACTTCCTCCGTCAATCCACATTAACAGGACACCGGTAGATTCATACCTTGCGCCCTATATCTGACAGCTGGGGGGAGGAGTTGCGGCACGCCGCGCTGTTGATTGGCCGGCAGCCGAACACTACGGAGCCGGTGGGCGGAGCCTAGGCACGCCCCGTCGTGATTGGACGGCGGCCGCACACTACGGTCCGCCTCCGGGACACCTTACACCGGCACCCGCAACTTCCCCACAAGGTCACCGCTGCCGCCCCTCTGCGCTCTGCTGCCCCGAGGCCGGGCCTCGGTGGCCTTGTGGGAAATCCGGGTCTGGATGCATACAAGTGATACATGTCTGCTAGACTGCTTGATGATATAATTAAACTATGCTTGATGATATAATTACAAAAATTAAAAGGTGATTAAAAAGTAAAAAATAAGAAAATAATTAGTCTGTGAAATGCTGTCATTTCACAGACTAATGGGCTTTTTTTTCTGTGTTTGGGAGAAATTATAGTTGGCAATGCTCAGATGAGGTGTCACCATAATCAAAAGGTCCGGTAACCATGGATATAATATATGAAAGCCAACTGCCCCTATAGCAGATGCAGGTGGGGGTATAAGCTATGGCTTCAATCATATCAGTCTGGTAGGGGCTGAACATTATGCTCCCTCTTATATTAATTATAAAAGGATTTGCTAATATCAATAATATACATTCAATAAAGTCAGGTTTAATACTTTGGAAAACTGCTACTTTGTATTTAAGATGGTTCTCAAATCAAGGTTTGCACAATATGTAAATGCTCAACTCAAGCAGTCAGGATGAGCCTGCATTCAGCAATGCATGCAGGAGAATTATGGGGTGAGTGAAATACACGCATCCCAATAATTAAAGCTGACCTATCACACTGAAGCTATCACAGGTTGGCTCTATTAATTGGGAACACACACCGCCGATTGCTGACTTCCCGATCCTCTCCCTACAGAGAGCGGTGACTGTCAGTCACCTCTCCCCACAGAGATTTCCCCCTCCCCTCTCCGTTTATTCAGCACTTGACTAGAGGAACGGATGGTGGAGGGGGCGAGCATAGGTGGCTCTACCTCTAGATAGGCAGAACCTGCTGTCAAACAGCCAGCGGGGTGGATCTCAACAATATTTTCGGGATCTCTCCCGACTGAGGTGCGGTTCTGCGCTCTCAGCATATAGTAGGCAATAGCCCGCTATATACTGAGTTTTGGGTCACCGGAGGGCATTAGTATATGTCCTCCTGTGACCCTGAAGAGAGCTAGGGGCAAAAAAGGTTGTCCATAGTTCTCCTTTAAAGTGCATCTCAAGGGATCTACAAAAGGGCATATCCTTTGCATTGTGATACAGAGGAAAAGCATTTGACTTAATTTAAAGGGCTTGTAGGATTTTTTTCTGTTACTGGTATAAAATGGTATTTGTGGAATGATACCATTCGATTCATGTGTTGGCTTTTTTTAATGTTTCATAGTTACAAGTTAACTTTTCACATTTCTTCGTTCACATCTTCCAGTCCTCAGCACTAGGCTACCAAATGGGATGGACAGGGCTTTTTTGACAAAACAGATAGAAAATTAGTAAAGCTGGTCATACACTGTGCAATATTCGCTCATTGGGTGGCCCTATTGGCAGACTTCTGTCCCACATCCTTCGATCAAAAAATGTGCATGATCGATATTTCATACACCTAAAGAAATGGTAATGTTTAAGATATATACAGTATAAATTGAGGATATTAAATATAGGTAAAAACCAATAGGCCCAACATTTGCACACCTTGAATGTACATTCCTTTGCAAGTTCTGTATGTTCTATGTTTTATACGTCAATTACACTCATTACTTTATTACATTTATCTTCTGGTACTGCTACAAATGATCAAGGATCAATCTTGTGGGCAGCTACAAATATCTAGTTATTGCTATTATTATTATTGAGAGTAAAGGCAGTCCATATACTGTTCATAGCTTGTTCATTGTGCTTCTGAGTTATTTATTGGAAGACGATCATATTTCCTGTAGGGGGAAAATACTTTTAATTGGATCTGTATGATCATGTGCAGTATAATGTGTACAGACTCACTTTCTCATTTTCCCTTTCTAGTGTTTTGGGAGCTTACAGTATGGATGTTGTCACCAGCAGTTCCTTTGGTGTGCATGTCGATTCTTTAAACAAGCCAAATGACCCTTTTGTTACAAAGACCAAGCAGCTTCTAAAGTTGGGATTATTCAGCCCTTTGCTTATATTTGTAGGTAAAGTAGATTTTATTTACAGTCTTGTCACATAATGCCTCCTGGAACTGCTCAGCCCCTCAGGCTGTGATTCCTGGGTGACTAAGGAATCCCCCAGTTCTACCGTGGGATTGCCACACAGTACCACAATATATACACACACACACGCACACACACACACACACATACATACACATACATACATACCTATTTTACATTCCAAGCATTCGAATTCTATTGGCAGTCTTTGGATTTACATACCTCCGTCATACTGCATAGTTAGGAAGATTACTTTACTGTTTCTTGGTTCGGCTTTCCGGCTCCCTGGGCTATTGGAAATAGATGACAATGCAATCAGTTTTCCATTGAGGAGGCTGGAGAAGGAGGGGTGATGCAGGAAAGTGCAAAGTAATTAATTTATGAGGAGTTTTCTTGACGTTTTCTTGTCTCGTCCTAATTTTTTTGTATCTTAATGTTTGATAAAAGTATGTATTTCAATGTTACCACAATGCTTTGTTTAGTCCATTTGTACAAAACCTATTTCTGCAAAACCAAAAAAGTCTTCTGCAATGCTCACTCAGCCTTTTAAAAAACATCTGTGAAACACATATTATACAAAGTACCTTCTAACTGGACCATTTTTGTTTTGACAGTATTGATTTTACTAAACAAAACAGATATGGTCGTGCATTCTTAGATTTGTGGAGAGGCTTGTGTAAAACCAGAAAATAGTTTTATTGTCTTAGAGGCAACCTTTAATGAGAGAAACATGGCTTTCAGACATCTCATTCATCTCGTTCTGCAAATGCTAGTTGCTCAGCTGCCATTTTGGAACTTTTCTTTCAGTGTTTTGTCACAAACCCCAGACATGTACACAGATAAGGATCTCTGACTTTCCTCTGCTTTTCCTGACATCTTGATGCATACTAATTCCAGGCCAATGGTTTTAGAAAAGATTGAAGTATGAGGGCTAACGTATCAGCTGAGTAACTAGTATTTTCTGTTAGAAGGTTAGCGGTAGCAGCCCCTATATTTATGTTTGTTTAAAATATGTTGAGAGGTATATTCCAAGTAGAAAATATTGAGCACTCACAAATGTAAGTTTAGTTGCACTACCTTACCCCCATACACTCCTGTCTTATACTACAGAGAGGTTCACTTTGCAGAATGGGTCAGAATTAGTAAGAGAGGTAGAACTTGGGGTGAATTTGAGAAGATCTTGTTTTCTTTGTTTTGCATTGAGAACCATTAGTTCTGCCCCATAAGGCCCAGAGAGCGAAATGGGCGATGTGCTGCCCACAATGGTGAAGCATTAGTGGAGTGGTAATAAACCTGTAATCTAGTTAGACCCTATCCATGGCACTGTCACATATATATTGCCCTGGAACCCGTTGTACTCATCTGGTAAACTGGTCTAAGAATCACACTGTGCCATAATTTTCCCTGAGAACAAGACTC